TAATAAGGTTTTAATATAATTTAACCAAGTTTTACTTTTACCATTTAGACGTCTATCTAAACTCTTGATTTCGTCCAACAACCTTAGGTATAACCGTATAGGAAGTGACTATATAGGGTCTGACTATATTTTCATATTTTTTTTATTAAATGTGCAAGTTTCCTTAAATAAATAATTAAAAAATTAATTAAAAAATTAAGATATTTATTTATAAAGAAATAAAATAAAAAACTTACTTTTATTGCAATTTCCTCTTTATTTGATAAAATATTCTTTATCATATTATTATAAAATTTGGGTTTATTTTCTTTAGATCAAGGTGTGAATTTTCTTAAAGATAATCAAGTAAAATCTCAATTTTACTATTTTTCTAAACAGATTTTTCGATTTTTATCATTATTATCTTTTTTCTTAACATGAGATTATTTAGAAATACTTATCTTTTTTAGGTTAAGAAATTTTATTATCTCTAAACTAAAATAAAATTTAATAAATATTTATATTCACAGTTAAAATATACATTATAAAACTTATCAAATAAGTTCATTATAATTTTTGTCTAATTCAATTAAAGTGAAAGACAAATAAAGTATTTGAGAATTGTATTGTTATTGAGAAATATATTGCTCTTAAAAAGAAGAATGTTAAGAAGGAAAATTATATTACAATTGCTTTTAAAGTTAGCTTCGCTATTACTGTTTCTGAGAAAGTTTAGAAAAAAATACTTTGCTGTTGCTGTTAAGGTTAAAGAATGATATTTTGTAGTTATAATTCAGTAAGAATTGGTTTAGATAAAATTAAATGTATTTTCTTTTGAATTTCAGCTCTATAAGAAAAAGCAGAAAAGTTAGAATATTTAGTTAAAGTTTTTCTATTAAATTATAATTGATTCATATTTTAAAATTTGTTAAGATTGTATTTTTACACTTTTTACATGATTTTATGTAACTAGATAGTACAAAAATTCAATCAAAAAATTTTATCTTTATTTTTATTCAAAAAGTTCAGATTATTAATTAAATCACACAATTTTACTAGCCAATAATTATCAACTCAAAACCTGATCAAAAATCTGAATAATCAGAAATAAACTGACATATTGACTCAAAAATCTGAATTTTTCCGCTTGTTGAGTCAGTCATTATCATTGGTTTCTTTTGATGCATACCTCTAAAATGATAATTCTTCTTATATAATAACTAAAAAATATAATCTTTATTAGTTTGAGTTTAATAAATTATTTGTCGTAGGAACAATTTGATTGGATATGAACTTATTTATCATGTAAATTAATTCTAGACTAAATAATGGTTCACTATTTCCTAGTATTTAACACAAATATTTTGCATTTGATTACATATTGAAACTATCATCCTATTATGAAATAAACAATTAGCATCATCTGAAAAAAATAGTTGCTAGATTTATTTGCCAAGTCACATATACTATTAGGATATGACAAATAATAGATGATAATTAGTATTTTTCTCACATAAAATTGGAAAAATCACCATGTGAAAAATACCTAACCCTGATTCTCTTACCTAATCCTAATCCTAAATATCCATATCCTATTATAACCTAAATTAATTGAAAAATAAATTTGGCTACCATTTTTTTTCAAACGATTCTTATAAAATATAGTAAATCATATGATCTATGATCTGAACATGATATTAAAAATTCTGTGCCAAGTTTATATAAGTCAAAAGTGATCAAAGATATGTGTAACAGTTAGACTTTCCATAACAAAAAAATTTCCAAGTCCTTAAAATACTTAGTAAAAATGGTGTGACATTGGGGTGTTCAGTCAATATAGTTTAACAAAACTATATCAAGTCCTATAGTAAATTTTACTATCGAATTTTTTTATATTAAACTATGTAATACAAATAGTTTAAAATTAATTTCATAAGAAGTCTCTCACTAAATCAATGCGTTCTTTATACTTTAATAATATCGAAACCTTCTTCTCATCCCCACTCCAAATTCTATTAAAGTATTTTGAACGATTATCTCTTTCATAAAATACCTTGCTTTTTTTAAAAAAAAATAATAAATCCATTTTTACAATAAAAATTGATACCTTTGAGCATAGTTTTATAGGAAAAAAATTTTTCTCTTTGAAATTTACAAAAAAACGAGGTATTTCAAGTTTCTTGAAGTTATAATGCACTTGTTTAAACCTTTAGTATTGCACAAATGTTTAATAATATGTGAGTTATTAAGACTTAAAAGATTCAGAAATTTCAATAGGAAAATGCCTCAAATTTCAAAATAAGCCCGACATTTAAAAAAAGCTCGTGAAATTGAAGTGAAGAAGTTAGAAGCAAAGAAAAATGACAAAAAACGAAAAATTAATGAGATTTTAAATTATATGGATGAGCCAAAACTTGAAAATACTTTAGAATTATTAATAAGGCTAAATAATACTAATCTGGAATAGCATTAAGTAAAGAAGATAGGCAATGAATGAATTTAATTTCTTCTGTTCAAAAATTATCTGATAAGGAAATTTCAGCAGCAAATCATCTTATTATAACTATGTGTTATCCCAAAGGTCTAAATAAAGGCAAACTTATTTCTCCTTATCTTCAAAATAGGGCAAAAGAATATATCTCTCAGACTTTTTATAAGCACCAATTTATATATCAAGAATCTTAAAATTGATTACAAAAAACTTTTTCAACAAAATCAAACTTTAATTAAAAAAACACAATCTCTTGGAGTACAAAATATGCATCTTATCAATCAAAATGCAGATTTCATATCTAAAATTTGATCATTAGCTTGACGTTCATAACAAGTTATAGATACAACCTTTTGGAAAAGCTAAAATCCATTTTTTAAGAAAATAAGTGAGAATATATATTCAATACTATTTGGCTTGCAACTAGTATTTCACAAATTAGTCAGACATCATTACGTTTTACAGTAGAATGTATGCAAATAATTTATAAATTTCTAATTGGAGAGCCACCACAAAATTGGATAACATTATCAATATTGTGCACTTGGCATTAAGATATTTCTACATTACATATCAATGCTCAAATTCATCAGGCAATTATGACCCCATCATTTGGAATTTTAGTTGATGAATCTACACGAAGTAAAGCAAAATACTTTGTTTTATGTTATCAATTTTGGAATCAGAAAAATCAAATATCTGTTATAACTGTGGCTCATCTTGAGGATATTCCTAGATGTAATGCAAATACTATATTTAATACTGTTACAAAGTATATACAACAAGATGGTTTTTCTTTTAATAAATGTGCATTATGGGTAACAGACAATACAGCTTATATGTCAGGAGAAAAGAAAGAAGCTGTTATTCTCTTTAATAAAAAAAATGACACAAATGCAATCTGAATCGGCTGTGCACTTCACATAATTCAAATTATATTAAATAACTTTGAACAAGAAGCATTCAGAATAATTTCAAATAGCATTACACTGGCTTCTCAAGAAAACTACACATATACAATTTACTTTATTTAGTATAGAAGCTACATAATGGCTATGATTCAAGTGATAAGAATAAACTACTGAATATTAATGCTCATATTATTCAATAGTTATATGATGAGTTACTAGGATTTCATTACAATCAATATCAGTTACTTCTCCATTCTCGTTAAGGTTATGAATTACAAACAGCCAAACAATATCTTGATCGTCATTCTGCTTATATCCAATTTGTACATTGGTTTATTGAAGAATTAAAAAAGTATAAAAAAACACAAAAATCCTATCTCAATGATTGGTGTCTTTTTAAATTTAGATTAATGATCCCAAATTAAATATTTATATTAAATGCTTAGTTAACTTTGCTAAGCATTTTTATGAGCCTCTAATGCAATTTATAATGAAACAAGATACTATTCCATGATTATATAAAAATAGACAATTAATTACATTGCCTCCAGGTCAATGTGCTCATGAAATGCTAGACAAAGTTTTTGAATGGCATGAATTTCTCCAAAATCTTACTAACAACTTTGATATTTTTTCTTAAATCAGCCTTTGGAAGCTATAGAATAGTGCACAATCATTTGCATCTAGCTTTCCAAAAATCTTGGATCTCTTTGTCTTCTGATTTGGAATTGAGATTTGCTCAGGATTTGGAAGGTGATAAAAATAATGGTATGACAAATGACTTTGGTTTGAGTGAATTGCTATGTCAAAATGGCAGTTTTCTTGAAGAATTTGTGCAATTTTACATTTGTGATGATCCAATATATCATTTTCCCATTATTTATAATTTCGTTAAGAATCATATTTATTATATTGTCATCCATCAGCAGCAAATTGAAGGTCTTTTTAACAAGTTTGATCTGAAAACACATGCAAATATGTCATTATCAATGAAACAGTCAAAGCTTTACTTGTCATCAAGCAAGATCTCAAAGGAAAATTTGACTAGCGAATTAAAAGAGATACGAAACAAAGAAATGAATCAAGAAAAACTCCACTTCAGGAAGCACAATTTCAGCTATCTGGATCTGACATTGCGTCAAAGCTTTTCAAACAATTAATTTACAATAGTAGTTAAAGCTGTAATTTGTATTGCTATATACTGTAATATATACTGTAAAAATAAATCAATAATATTGTATAATATCATAATATTATATTTAATTATTATCTTTAATTTATTAATCAGAAAATTAAATTTCAGCTTTCGGAAGTAATTCCGGTTTCGGACACATTATATTTTATTTAACAAAAAAAAAATTCGATAGTAAAATTTACTATAGGACTTGATATAGTTTTGTTAAACTATGTTGACCGAACACCCCAGTGTGACATGGTGTGATAAATAAGGGGGTACCTAAGTGATCGACATAATCTGGCACAGAAGGAATAAATGATCAGCAAACCTGTTATCCTCGAAATGCTGTATCATATTATAGTGATCAAACGTACTGTATGTAGATCATTAGTTCTTGAAAATCATAACAAAAATTATCAGGTGGCTATGTATAATTACATAGCCATTTAATCTTCAATAGACGCAATTTTTTAACATAATCATTTCATCTTGGGAAATGCAGCAGCACGGCGAATGTATGACATTAAGCCTTCCCGTTGAACATCTAACTTTTATCATCTGTGAAAATATCAATGGCAGCATGGTATTATTCATTATCCAAAACCTTCACAATAAGTTTAATCCATGAATCAGTTTATTATACTTCAAAATGATTTATTTTCGATCGATCGAAGGGAAAATGCTTCAATACCGTCTAAAATTGAGTTTTGACTGCAATTCAATATTTTACATAAAAACCAATAATAATAATAACTAAGACCGATACAGTTATTCCTTATCAAGTATATCTTATTCGGTAATTTATTTCCGTAACTTAAAACAATTCCGAGAATTGACCCGTACTTGCGCCTCAAAATAAATGCATCTATTTATTAAGATGGGTTTTCACCTTCCTTTTTCGAATTAAAACCGTTTATGTATTTGTAAAACAAATTGTTCAATAATCTAAGTATTTCTTCATGAGTGAAGTCGAAGAAACAAGCATTACAATAGATGATAATGCCGCGCACAATGGAGAACAAATAACATTACTATCTGCATCTCCGAATGGTGAACATGTAATCACGTATAGCAGCAAAGATCGTTCAATTGAAGGATGGATTGTCGGCGAAAACGATTCTAAATGTGCCACTCTTAAACGAGACCCTGAAGTAACTGTTTATAAATTATCAGATGATGAAAAAGTAAATGAAATGAAAGTTAATGATGATAAATTTGTTTTATATGCATGGGA